ATGCCTGCCTGTCCTGGATCTGGAACTCCTACAGATTCTTAGCTTTATTATTCTCCACAATCTTCTGTGGAAACTCCTTGATGTCTGGGTGGAGAATTCTGGGAGTTAAAGTCCATACATCTTTCAGCTGAGAAACACTGATCTACCCCTTGGGTTCTATCTAGTCTGGTAAATCCCTGCTTCTATGGATCTGGTGCTTAGTGCCTGTTCTTGTGCTGTTATGATCAGTGATCAATGCTGCCTTTTACACACACCCCACTTCAGGAATAATTATAAAAATGATGATTTCTCACTCATTTCTTTACTAGTAGTAGAAACAAAATAAGCAGCCCTAAATGTCACCTAAAATTGGAAGCCAAAGTCAGATGTATACTAAATGTAGACTGATTTTTAGCTACACATCTTCCCAGCAAACAGCAAATTTTGAAGCTCCGGGTAAAGATGTTTCATTTTAGGATGAGTAACCACAGTTTGCGTGTTGGAGGCTGGGAAACTCTGTGTTTTAAAGAACATTTGAGCGAGGGGTGCAGAATAGCCCTTCTCTGCCTGAGGCTGTAGAGACCTGGCACCAATCAAAACACTGTTTGTGAAGCAACTGATTAACACTGACAGGGTAAGCCAGTAATATATGAAAATAATTTTATAGATGGCATTACTCACCTGCAAGATTAGTGAATATGTATAAAAAAAAATTGGTTAAATGTTGGAAATGCAATCAGACATCAGGTTCATACTACCATCTGTAGTCGACATGCCCCAAAGCCAAAAAATATTGGAAAAAAAATACACACATGGCTAGAAAATATAATAAGACAAAAAATAGATCTGAAACCTGAGACATTTTTGTTGGGCATGATTCCAGGAAATTACAATAAGGGTAACACATATTTGGTTCTATACATCCTAACAGTAGCTAGGATTGCATATGCACAATGTTGGGAAAACCTAGAAATCTCTGCAGATGATATTATAATAAAAACAAAATCTGGAATGTGCAGAGATGGATTAGGTTAACTCTAAAAATTAAAGGAAAAAAAGATTCGGATTACTTCATAATATGGGAACTATTTTATAACTGGTTAAATGACAGATATTGAGGTTAGAGAAGTGGAATTAGGTGAAATATGGTTTATAGGAGAAAGAAAAACAGATGAGTAAATATTTCTGATGGTTATATAATCGATACTATAATGGAAGATAAAATGTGTTATAACATGATTGATGTTATCATATTTGTTTATATATTACTGCATATTTGTTTATATATTACTGCATATTTGTTTATATATGATCATAATGACAATGATGATGTTTGTATGTTAACACTTTGGGCACCTAGAGAGCACACTGCTCAACATAGAAAAGAAATGTATGACATAAAACAATAAAAAAATATTTTTTAAAAAAAGAAAATAAAAGCAAACTCCACTCCCTTCTAGTACTGATGATGTTACCTAGTATGGTAATGAAACATCTGCAAGAAAACCATCAAGCTCAGAGAGGACCAAGGACCCCACAGTTCAACACTGAGTTACAAGTATTTTCTTCTATCGATAAATACTTTTTGGTTAGAGGGACTCAGAGCCTACCTTATATGAGATGGCTCCCAGTGGGTTTCACTTTAAATTTTGATATGATTTCTGTAAATAAGGAATGTAGAATTATAATGGCCGACTCTTTGATCCTTCGTACATAAAAAAAAAAGCTAAGAGATAAACAAATAACAGATTTGAAAAAAAGAAAAGGCTCAGGAAAGAAAAAGAGGAAAAGTATAAGAAAGAGGAAAAGAAGGAAAACAAAAAAGAATTACTTCCAACTTTCTTTGGTACATATCAAACTCTTATTCTAAGATTAACATTTGTTTACATTACTTCCATAATCCCATATCTAATCATCAAAACCCAGATCAACTTTTAATTTCAGTTTCTCATAAAAAGTCCAGTAATGGTTCACTTTAATCACAGTTTGTTAAGGAAACCACAACTGATTTATTTAATTGCACCAAACTCTAAATAAAACAGGGATGGAAAATCCTGAACTGTAGTGTAGACCCATGCTTCTCAGCTTTGGCAATTTTAAGGTGCATGGACTTTAATTCCCAGAATTCCCAAGGCAGCATGTAGTTCGCCCGTCTTAAACTTGCCAAGACTGAAAAACGCTGATCAACAGAGAGGGATTTTTCCATTCCTCTTTTACTGGTTCTTACTTACTTATAAGCAATCATAATGCAAAATCCTCACTTCTATCACATTCCAGAACAACACCATTCCTTCACTAACCTGCTTTCCAGCTCCCTTCTCCTCTGTGTAGGACAACAAAAGAAGACCATGTGACTCCCAGTTTAAAAAAAGGTTCAGTCACCTTCCAAAAAAGAAGTTGGAACTTCTCTTTTGGAAGAACTTCTTGCATTATCATTATTTTGAAATGGGGTGGAAATGGAACTTTGCATTGTAATGCAAAATCCTCACATCCACCCCATTCAAGAGCAAAGATAAGAGCAAAATCCCCACTTCCACTTCATTCCAGAACACCCACTATTCCCTCACTAACCTGCTTTCTAGCTCCCTTCTCCTCCGTGCAGGGCAACAAAAGAAGACCATGTGATCACCAGTTTAAAAAAAAAGTTCAGTCAGACTTCCAACTTCTTGGGGAAGAAAGATCTCCTGAAGCTATACGGTCTGACTGAACTGACTGATTAGTCTCCCAGCTGATGGAGCTGGTCCAGAGGTGGTATTCAGCAGGTTCTGACCAGTTCTGGGGAACCGGTAGCAGAAATTTGGGGTAGTTCGGAGAACCGGCAAATATCATCTCTGACAGGAGATTTTACAGTATTCTTCCCCTGCCACGCCCACCAAGCCACGCCCACAGAACCGGTAGTAAAAAAAAATTGAATCCCACCACTGTGCTGATCCATTGCTGCTTCCCAGCTGATCATCATGGCTCCTGGTCATGCAGCCTATTAGGCCTCCCTGCAGTCCCCTGGGAGCACTGCACCCCCCCCATGCCCCATTTTGGGCCTAGCGGGCCTCCCTGCACTTACCTGGGAACCAAAAAGGGGCAGTGGGGACTCCCAGAAGGGGTGGGTTGGGCAAGGGTGTGGCCAGCCAGAATTTTTCCTACTGGTTTGCCTGAACTGTTTGAATCCCACCACTGGTGCTCCTCCATGTAGAAACCCAGGGTTATACTGGAGATTCTGGTTTTTAAATCCTGCTATATATGGTAATCCTGCTATATAGGGCTTTAGTTAGGCCCCATATCCAGCTCTGGAAACCTCACTTAGAAAAAGATATTAATAAGATTGAGGGAGTCCAGAAACTGGCAACAAAATTGTACAAGATCTGAGGGACAAAATGTATCAGGAGAGATTTTCTTTTCTTTTTTCTTTTTAAATATTTTATTGATTTTCTATTGTTTACATTTTGTTAGTGCTTAACAACCATCGTATTGTCTGGTTATTTAATTGTTCAACAATACAGATTACATTCTTAATCTCCGCCTATTTTTTCCAACCACTGGTAAAATAAAGTCCATGTTTGATAATATTCTTTCTGGTTAATCTTCAGTGTAAATCTGTCCATTTCTGCACAATCTAGTATCTTCCTAATTATCTTTTCGTCTCATGGTGTATCTTCATTTTTTCCAATATTGTGCAAATATAATCCTCCTTGCTGCTGTATCAGGAGAGATTTTGGAGGAACTAAATACTTACAGCTTGGAAGACAGACGGGAAATGGGGGATATGATTGAAACTTTTAAATATATTAAGGGTGTGAATAAGGTTCTGGGAGGTGGTATTTTCAATATTAGGCAAAGATCAAGAACACAGGGTAGGGCTGCAAACTTTTTAACAACCGGTTCTCTAGCTGAGTAGGCATGGCCGGTTGGTCATGTGGCTGGGTGGGTGATGTCACTCATCACACCTTACCCCGCCTCCTGGCTACTCGCCTCAAAGGAAGAGGTAGGATTCAGCCGGTTGGGGCTAATCCCACCACTGGCTAGCCCCGCCCCTGCCTGCTTTTTAGCCGGTTTTGGGGCTGTTTTCAGACCAGTTTCCAGGTTGTCTTTTGGGCCATTTTCTGGCTGTTTTGGGAGCCATTTTCAAACCATTTTTTGGGCTGTTTTCAGGCCATTATGGGCCATTTTCAGCTCATTTTGAGGGTTGTTTTTCAGGACGTTTTTGGGCTGTTTTCAGGCAGTTTTGGTCCAGGAAGCAGCCTGAAAATGGCCCCAAATTCAGGACAAAACCAGTCTGAAAACGAGCCTGAAAACAGGCCTGAAAATGGGCCCCAAACCAGACCATTTGGGGCCTGTTTTTGGCCCAGAAAATGGCCCTAAAACAGCCTGAAAATGTCCTGAAAACCGCCCAAGAAAAGGCCTGAAAATGGCCCCAAAATAGGCCGTTTTGGGCTGGTTTGGGGTCATTTTCAGGCTATTTTGGGGCCATTTTTGGCCCGGAAAATGGCCTAAAAATGACTTGAAAAACAGCCTGACAATGGCCCAAAAAACCAGCCCAAAAATGGGCAGGGTGGTCAGCCAGTGGTGGGATTTGCCAGTTTGCCAAACTATGCCTAATCTTAATTACTGGTTCGCCAGAACCAGTGTGAACCGGAAGCAGCCCACCTCTGGGCACAACCTCAAACTGACAGGAGGGAGTTCAAAAGTAATCTTAGAAAGTATTTCCTTAGGTAGGAATGAGCTTTTGGATGTAGCACCTCTGCTGTTTCTTTCCCAAGATCTGTTGCTGAAGACTGTTCCACTGGATTTATGTGGTTGGCCCAAAGTTTTCCAGATAGAGCCCTTCCCTGTTCTAAAGAGGAGAAGCAGTGCCAAGTCAGTAGGCTGGGCTGGGCAGGAAAGGCTACTGCAGGAGTTTCCCTTTAATTTCCTGGTCTAGCCCAATTTTGCAATCTCGCTCATTTAAATAGTGCTTCCTTGGCCCTTGCTCAGACGGGGAAAGGCCACCAGAAGATATGCACCATTCCCCTCTTGCTTCTTGCAGAATGTGTAATGAACTTCTTTCTATAGCTTTCTATCGGGCTGTCTTCACTGAGTTGCTGGTCACCGCCATCTACGTCTTTTTTGGCTTGGGGTCTGTTCTGGATTGGCCCGAGACACCCTCCATCCTACAGACTTCCATCACCTTCAACTTGGCTGCAGCCACAGCTGTCCAGATTGCCTGGCAAGCTAGTGGAGCCCACATCAATCCAGCAGTGACTGTGGCCTTCCTGCTTGGCTCTCGTGTCTCATTGGTGAGGACTGTCTGCTATGTGGTGGCCCAGCTGGCTGGAGGAATTGTTGGGGCAGCCATCCTTTATGCGGTGACTCCTGGGAATGTCCGTGGAAATATGGGCATCAACAAGGTATGTCATTGAATTGACATCTTTGACATGGGCATTTGCCTGGGGAACAGTCTTCAAATAACCTACCAAGTGGTACATATTCTAGCAAGCATACCAGAATTGACAGCAGTTGTGGATCTGTCAAGCATTAAACAGGGGTGTGGTTATTAAGGTGTGAAATATTGTCACTGATTGTTGTAGATTACAGAGTGAAGCCCGCCAGATGAAATATCTACAGTTCTATGTGAGTCAATCACTCATGGTACATCCTCTTACAGAAGGATGTGCAAAGCATGTTCTTTGTTGGTTTACTTGGAAATTGTTGGGAAGCTGATTATTATTTAAAATGAAGAGAAAGAATTAGCTGGAATGATGATTTGGTGGAAGAGTCTAGTGGGTAGGGCTTTAGAAGAAACTGACAGTAAGCTATAACAAAAACTCAAAGTGTCCTGAAATTAATTGCAACAGGAAGTGAATTACTGTATAAAATGGCTTCAAGGAGGCTACAATAACAATGCAATTCCATTTTTGTAAAAATGGTTATTGTCATAGTTGAGGGTATCTCATGGTAACAGAATGTGTGGAAGCAGGGTGTATAGCAGGAATGGGTGATTTCATACAACCGCAGCCTCCAATTCATCTTGCTCTACAGACTCCCTAGATTGGGTTGACAAAATTACCTGAAAAATGGCCAGTTTTCATTAGCATGGTTTATAGCATCTGCGGCAGAAATTAAAGGTCAGAGTAGGTCATTTCTTCTGAAAGTGTGGAAAGTCCCAAAGATCTACCCAAAAAGGACTGAAGATCTTCTGACCTCTCCACTTGGTTGTAACTCTGGATCACTGATGTGTTCCCTGCAAATTTCAGAAGCCAAAAATATAAGACAGGAAAGGAAATGTTGAGGCTGAAAATGTTTGCCAATGCTTGGACAATAACAATTAGAAAGGAAGATCCAGGCCCAAAGGTATGCCCACCCTAAATTCTAAGATGGGGAAGGATAAGAATGTGGCAGCAAATAAGAAAATTACCTATTATAAAAATAATGGGCAGAGCAGAGGGTAAAGAATGTTACATAACATTGGGTTGATTCACATAATGGGTAGATGGTAGGGCAAGGACAAGGGAGACTCAAGGCTGATCCAGGTGAGTTTGCCCCAGCACAAGTACCAGTAACTTACTGTTTCTCAGGACTGGAAAGCACATTGTCTTCTACTAACTTACCAGCTCACTGGGAAATTAACCTCCACCCATCTTATCCTGCTGATATCAAGGGTGTTTTTCTTCTACTTTGTTGTCTAGTTTGCCTCCTGTACTTTGTTGCATTGTAGCAGAACCCCTCCACCTATGTACTGAGTGAGAAATGGCCCTTTTCTCTCCATCTGGTTACTGGATCACCTTGCACAACTCCATATCCCTCAACCCTTTTTGCATGGTGGTTTTGTAAATGAAGGAAGTGTGGAATTTATCTTCAACAAATAAAGGAGCAGATCAGAGGTTGGAATTTTGCAGCAGGACCTTGTTAGGTTATAGTTCAGGAACATCTAGAGTCATCGGGTCCTGAGTTGACAAGGTGGGAGGTGCAACTATTTAACAAGGGAAAGAATGGGTCAAAGAGGGCAGTTCTGGGGGAAGGAAGTAGCACTAAATGTCATTATATCCATGGTGTTAGGAATGAACCCTTATAAAGCTCTTCCGTGCTTATGGAAGGGAAAGAGACTAGAAAGACAGGAGCCCAGAGAATACAGAGACTGATCTTTCCTGGAAATAGATTGATGGATCAGGTGCCACCAAGTCATTTTTAACTCTTAGTAACCACGTGGATAGATTTTCTCCATGATGATCTGTTTCTAACCTGGCCTTTCAACTCTTCCAACAAAAACAGAGTAAGCGTTGTAAGATTTACAATGTACATTGTACCATGTAATCAGAAGTGAAGACGTTGGTGTGGGAGCCTCCCACACCTGTGGAAGTAGCCTGGCCTTGAATTAGGTAGGAAGGATAGAGAGAGTCTCTTTCCAGTTGCACCTAACTGTGGCATCAACACCATGTTTGCTGTGTTGTGCAGCCTTCTTTAAGAGGATGCACCTGTGAAGGTTGCTTTCAGCATCAACCGGTGAGTGAACTAAGCTTAAATCAGGCTTAGCTAATCATTCCAATCTAATCAACTAATTAAGGAGAGACTAATCAATTAATTAACTAATCAAGGAGAGAACAAACCTAGAACTAAGGAGAAATTTCCTGACAGAACAATTAATTAGTGGAATGTCTTGCCTCCAGAAAGAAAGCCATCAAACTATACGTACCAATAACAACTCCCAAAACCAGGAAAAACAGATTACCCATAACAATAAGGAAGCTTCAATCCAAAAAGTGATCACTTTGGCGAAAAATCTGGTCACGTTGCCAACTTCAAAAGCCAATACAAAAATTTATGCCACCAGATAAAAACTGAATGCACTAATTATCACATTAAACAAGAGGAAAAGCTTCTACGCACAAATTCCACCTGTGCTTTCTACAATTTTGTAAACAACAAACTAAAAGACTCAAGGTCCATCCCACCCCTGATAGGACCTAATGGTAAAGACTGCAACGATGACACTATTAAAGCCAACCTCTTTAACACATTATTTGGCTCAGTATTTGTAAACAGCAGTGGATCAAGCCCAGACAACTACAATAATCTAATTATTATTATAACCACAGACAACTACAATAATCTAATACATATCGATTTTATAGAAGACATTGTTGAAAAAGCACTGCGCAATCTAAAACCATCCCTAGCTATTGGATCGGATGGAATATGTGCCTATTTCTTTAAAAAGCTATCCACTGCCATAGCTGAACCTCTAAGCATAATCTTTGAAAAATCTTTCAGGACCAGCTCCTTGCCAAAACTATGGTCACTAGCCATGGTCATCCTCATCTTCAAAAAGGGAGACCCCAGCCTAGTTGAAAATTACAGACCAATCTCCTCATGCTGCGTCACCTGTAAAGTCATGGAATCAATTATTAACCAATCCATTATCCTCCACTTAGAGACAAACAACCTACTCTCTAATAAACAATTTGGTTTCAGAAAAAAACTATCCTGTAATCTGCAACTCTTACACTGCAAAAACATATGGACTACACAACTCGATCAGGGCAAAGCAATAGACGCAATCTACATGGACTTCTGTAAAGCCTTTGATTCAGTGGTAGACAACAAACTACTCCTAAAACTAAAATCTTATGGCATCTCTGGGCATCTGCATTACTGGATAGAAGCATTCCTGTCAAACAGACAACAAATGGTCAAAATTGGGAGCGTCCTATCAAATTCTGTACCTGTCAACAGTGGTGTCCCCCAAGGCAGTGTTCTAGGACCAACTCTCTTCATACTCTACATAAATGACCTCTGTGATCATATTAAGTGCAACTGCGTTCTCTTCGCTGATGATGTAAAGCTATTCAACACCACAGACAATACTACTACCCTCCAAAAAGACCTTGACTATGTATCAGAATGGTCAATCAAATGGCAACTTCAAATCTCAATAAATAAATGCTCTGTCTTACATATTGGCAGAAAAAAAACAGAAAAAAATACAAGCTAAATAGTCAAGACCTTGTTGAGGATCCAGACTTTGTCAAGGACCTTAGAGTACTCATCTCAAATGATCTAAGTGCTAGAGCCCACTGTAACTACATAGCCAAAAAGGCATTGACAGTTGTTAATCTAATCCTATGTAGCTTCTTCTCTGGTAATATCACACTACTAACTAGAGCATACAAAACATTTGCTAGACCAATACTTGAATATAGCTCATCAGTCTGGAACCCACATTACGTATCTGATATTAACACAGTTGAGAAAGTCCAGAAATATTTCACAAGAAGAGTTCTCCGCTCCTCTACTCATTGCAGAATACCTTATGCCACCAGACTTGAAACTCTAGACCTAGAAAACCTACAACTACGCCATCTCCGGTCCAATCTAAATATAGTATATAAAATCATACATTGCAATGTCCTACCTGCAAATAAATACTTCTCCCTTCAATCATAACAATACAAGAGTACACAATAGATACAAACTCAAGGTTAACCGCACCAAACTTGATTGCAGAAAATACGACTTCAGCAACAGAGTGGTCAATGTTTGGGATACTCTAATGCTCTAATACTCTACCTGACTCTGTGGTTTCTTTCCCAAACCCCAAAAACTTTAACCTTAGACTGTCTACTATTGACCTCACCCCCTTCCTAAGAGGCCTGTAGGGGGTGAGTGGAGGCAGTTTTTGATAAATGGCTAGACTAGCCTTCTGTTAATATCTTAAACTAAATAGCAGCGAACCTATTTTTTTCTTCTACATTAGCATTAAGCTGAAATGTGTAAAAACTAATACAAACTAAAAGAAGGGGAAAAGAAAGAAATAAAACCCTAACGTGCAAAAGAAGAAGAAAAGGTTTAGAAGAAAAGTAGAATAAATGTTATAAACAAGTAGCTTCTGATTGTTACAACTGATGTTTTGAAAAGTCACTTTCAATTTGTAGCTAGGACTGGAGCCTCTGGTTCTACCTAACTTCAAGACATCCAAAGAGCGATAGACAAGAAACCGTGTTTTTCACTTTTGTTTCTTTCCCAAATCTTCACCTTTTGATAATCCATAGTTAATCTCAATTTTCATTTTCTTGTCAGATGTCAAGAATCAATTTCACACTTCAGCCACTCTGAATTTGAACTACACTGTGGGATAGGAATATTTCTCAGCTACAAGAGGAGAGTGTCTACTAAAAAGCAGAAACAGTTGTGTTGACTAGGAGGAATAAAGATTCCTTATTACAAGGAATATCATACTAGGCCAAAGAACTATTCCAAAACATGAACAAACTTCTGAGTTTCTAAAATGTCTCCATTGAGCAAATGGAGGCAAGATGCAACTGGTGTTTAAGCTGTCTGTGGTTGGGATACCATACCTGGGCTCAAAAAATCTGGAGGACAGCTAGAGGACAGCAAAGTCATAGATTGCCATCTATAGACTCATCTCCATGATAGCAGTAAAGGGCAGGAGTTGGTACAGAGATCCCTAGTATAAAAAACTGTGCTTTCAGATCCTGTCAAAACAGAATGAGTTTTTCTCCCAGCAGAAGCAGGAGAGAGAGGCATTTGCAGAGTTAAATCAACTGTGGAATCAGAGAACTGTCACTCAAGGAACCACTGACTCTCTTTTTCCCCTGCACTTTTTCTACGGAGCATGGCAAGAAATTTGGGGGACAGGGTAGAAGTAAGAAAAGTGGGTTTTCCTGCCAATTTTGCGCCTTCACAAAGCAATTACTCTTTGGGACTGGGCCAAAGATGGGGAACAATGGCCTCTCTAGGACTTGTGGACTTCAACTCCCAGAATTCCTGAGCCAGCATGGTTGGGTCAGGAATTCTGGGAATTGAAGTCCACAAGTCATAAAAGGGCCATTGTTCCCCACCCCTGGACTAGACAATTGGAAGCAAAGGAGCTGTTCTCCCCACTTTTTCTCCCTTCTCACTTCCCCCACTACTCCTGGGTAAAGAAATAGGGTCAGAGCGGTCAGTTCTCCAGGCATCAAAAAGCCCCTCCCAAATGGTCATGATTGTACATTTAGAAACATTGAACTGTAATTTACACATTTTTTGGACCAATTTTCCAGTAATGCCAAATCATTTTCTATGTTATGAAAAAAAAAAAAACCTGGAACATCAACTCTGTTACATTACTGGATGACATTTTTGTGTCATCAACAAAAAGACATACCTTATCTAGCAATCCTTCTGTTATATCATTTACAAACACATTGAGCAGAACAGGACCTGGGACTGATCCTTGTGGTACACCGTGTGTGATTGGTCTCTATTCAGACAGACCAGTGGTGGGATTCAATTTTTTTTACTACCGGTTCTGTGAGCGTGGCTTGGTAGGCATGGCGTGGCTTGGTGGGCGTGGCTTGGTGGTCATGGCAGGGGAAGGATACTGCAAAATCTCCATTCCCTCCCTACCCCACTAACCTGCTTTCCAGCTCTGTTCTCCTGTGCAGGGCAACAAAAGAAGACCCAGCCAATCAGCTGGGACTTGGGAGGCAGATAATAGATCGGGGTGGGGCCAGTCAGAGGTGGTATTTGCCAGTTCTCCAAACTACTCAAAATTCTCCCTACCAGTTCTCTCAGAACTGGTCAGAATCTGCTGAATGCCACCTCTGAGACAAACCCCTATTAACAATCACCCACTGGGGATCTATCCATGAGCCAATTACCTTTCCAGTGAACCACCCAGTGGTTAAATCCTAGCCAGTACAACTTTTTAATGAGCTCATTATGGGCACTGTGTCAAATGCTTTGCTAAAATCAAGATAAGCTATGTCCACAGCACCACCTTTGTTCAAAATATTTGTGATATAGGTAAAAAAAAGTCAGTCAGGTTAGCCATCCCACTTCTGACAAGCCAAGTCAGTTAAAGAGCTCAAGTTGCAGCCCTCTGATGTTTAGTGACAGTGACAGATTTGCTTCACAACCACGGTGGAATAGACACAGTTGGAGCATGGTGATGTGATGTTTCATTTAATGCCTGTATCATTTAGCAACAGAGTTGCTCATCCCAATTTCAGCTGATAATGGAGGACTACCTGTAGAAAGACAATATGCATCACACACACACACACAAAAAAAAGGGACAGGACTAATATTGCATGATTGCGGCTACCATCTTAATCTTTTTTCACCTCCTCTCTGTGGACATGGTTGCACCTACAAATTGGTGAGAAAAGCAAAAGAGACGGCCTTTGAGCCCAGCAGAAGGACTCAAAGGGTTTCCTGATCTCGAAAGGCAAACAGTCATGAAAGTTGGAGGGAGGTGATCACAGCAGGACTCAGCATGAATATGATGCACTTCAGATGGAGCAGACATTTGTCAGAAGCTGGAAAACATCTGTTTACGAGAAAGGGGGGAGGGGGGAGGGGGAGAGAGAGTTTAGAGTCCTTTTCAGCTGATCAGGGATGACTGGAGAAATATAAAAGCCAGCTATAAAAATCAAATGTTTTACATCTGGAGCCACCTACACAGAAATATACATCCTTCAGGGTTTTTCCCATAAATGTTGCGGTAGATGGGAATCCCCAATGATGTGTTGGCATAAAAAGGATTCTGCTGTTCGTAGCAAAGTGCTCTGATTGAACTTTAAGGCATTCACATAACCTGAAACCTATATAATAATCCTTTTTTCCCAGGCAGGAAAGATGCCAGCCATATGGTTAAAGTCTCCTTCACCGTTGTTTCCTTCTGTGCCCTAGGTGAACATCAATATTTCAAGCGGACAAGCTGTTGCAGTTGAGCTCATCTTGACCCTACAGTTGGTTCTGTGCTATTTTACATCCACAGATAGACAGCGCAGTACGGGCTCCCCTGCTGTCATCATTGGCATCTCAGTTGCCCTGGGCCACTTGGTTGGGGTGAGTAAATTAAGAGATGCTGAGAAAGGTAAGCGCCAGAGTAGGGCTACCAGAACTGGCTAGTGATTACTTGAGAGTGGAAAACCCACACCTGGGGGCCCCAAGCAAGACAGGCTTTGTTTTATTTTGTTTAAAATGCTAGAGGCAAGCTTTTAAAATGACGGAGAGGGCTCTTTGGAGGGAATAGGCATTCAAAGCAAAATAAACATCAATGAAGAAAGGAATAATGCAACAGATATTGTTTTAACTGCCTTGTAAATACCATGAGCTGGGTGCAGCTGGACTGGGTTCTTGGCTGCAAAGTTTGCTTATATGTATTATTGTATTGTATTTATTTATTTTGTTGAGCATGTATTAGATAACAGATATAAGTATAAACATGATTATTAATAAATGAAATGGATACGAAGGAAGGGAACATTAGGACAGGGACGGTATGCACGTTGGTGTGCTTATGCATTGATGTAGAAATGTCAGGGGTGTTTTGGGAGCATTTAAATTAGCTAGCGGATCCTACGGTGAGCAACCTTCTAAGCTTTTACAACTGTGCTCCTAGATAATCCCACTACAGTGGGCGGTGTGATGCACAACTGACATCACAAAGCTCAGAGCACACCCCAGTTTGGCAAATATTTTACCCAGACAATTAGCCTGCCTCCAGCAAAAGAGACATTTTAGAAGAAGGGGCACTAGCAGTGGCTGCTTGAACCGAAGAACTCCAAGTCTTCAAAATCAGGCGTAAGACTAGAAAACTACACAAGCATTTTCCACCAGTGTCTTGTTCTGTATGGATTCCATCCCAACACTGTACAGGTAGTCCTCGACCTACAACAGTTCATTTAGTGACCATTCAAAGTTATGACAGCACTGGAAAAAAAATGAACTATGCCCTATTTTTGCAGTTACAAACCTTTGCAGCATCTCTGTGATCAAGATTCAGATGTTTGGCAGCTGGTTCATATTTATGACCATTGCTGGGTCCCAATATCATGTGATTCCCTTTTGCAACCTGAGCAAAGTCAGTGGGGAAGCCAGATTCACTTAACAACCGGGTTACTAACTAATCCGCTGCAGGGATTCTCTTGGTAAGGAAGGTCGTAAAATGGGGGCAAAACTCACTTAACAAATGTCTCACTTAACAACAGAAATATTGGGCACAATTGGGGTCATAAGCCGAGGGCTACCGGTTTGGACTACAGTGAGGAAAAAAACTTTTTTTTTTTTAATGGAAGTGCAACATTGAAACCCAGAATGGGAACTCTGCAAGATCTGCCTTTCCTAATGCTTTCTTCCCATTCCTCATTTCTAGCATTACTATACTAGATGCTCCATGAATCCAGCCAGATCCTTTGGTCCTGCTGTCATAACTGGGGATTTTCTTCAGCAGTGGGTAAATCCCTCTTCTTTCTGTATCCTCATCCCCCATTGGTCCAGGGTGTAGGTGGAAGAAAAGTGGGGTAAAGGATTATCCAATTGGCCAGACCATGAAAGCCTGTATATTGGTAGGATTTAATGATACGCATTATGAACCCAAGGAGCAACTGGATTGGTCTGGGATGATTAAAACAAACAGAAACAAGCATTTTGTACTACAAGTCCAGAAGCGTCTTCGAACCTCCCATAGAGTGCTGCTTAACTTTGTGAGTAGCTGGCAGGCATTTTGGGGGAGCTGACCAGTGGTGGGATTCAAATATTTTTACTACTGATTTTGTGGGCGTGGCTTGGTGGCCATGGCATGGCTTTGTGGGTGTGGCTTTGTGGGCATGGCAGGGGAAGGATACTGCAAAATCCCATTCCCTCCCCACTCCTGAGGGAAGGATACTGCAAAATCTCCATTCCCTCCCCACTCCACTAACCTGCTTTCCAGCTCCGTTCTCCTTTGCAGGACAACCGAAGAAGACCCAGCCGATCAGCTGGGACTCGGGAGGCAGAGAATAGATGGAGGCGGGGCCAGACAGAGTGGGTATTTGCTGGTTCTCCAAACTACTCAAAATGTCCGCTACCAGTTCTCCAGAATTGGTCAGAACCTGCTGAATACCACCTCTGGAGCCTACCCTGGGATTTTAAGTGGCAAGGCTGCAAAACTTCTCAGAAATACTTTCCACAAAAGCCTCTTACTCATCAGGACTTTGTTCAGATATATGGACTGTAGTTCAGTCTGGCAAACAACTGCATTTTAAAACTGGGAGGTGATAGACATCTTCTGGTTGCATATGGCAGACCCGTTTTGGTCTTAGCCAGTTCCTAAGATTAAAATCAGAGGAGACGGCATCTTTATGGTTGCATAAATAGTTTCATCTGCTGGCATGAGGAATAGGGGTGACCAGCTGCGGGGCCACAGAATTCCAGATTTTCCCTATAAGTGGCAGCAAAGAGATACAAAACTCCCTGTAAATCTTTGTGGCCCTCTATGCCTGGTTGCTAGCAGTAAAAAAAAAAGCACATAATCAAGTGATTGTTTTTAAAAAAAACCATATCCTTACTTCCTAGAGGGGCTATAAATGGGGTCTCTCTTACTCCTGGAGGCTTGGTGCCCTACAGAAGACAGGAGCCATGCCTAGAACATTTCTATCACGAAACACAAACCCTGACTTTTTTGTTTTTCCTTAGGCCAGGTTCACCTCCTTTCAAACCAACAGAACTGCCTAAGAAATGTTGCTGCTTGAGTCAGAAATGGGATGGTGTATATCTCTCCTAGCTCACCCCATTCCACATGCAAAAGCTAACTGGATTAACAGTTAAATCTTCCTTCAATATTGACAGTGAAGCCCTGCCCCAGAGGTGGCATTCAGCAGGTTCTGACCAGTTCTGGAGAAACGGTAGCGGACATTTTGAGTAGCTCGGAGAACTGGTAAATAGCACCTCTGACTGGCCCCGCCCCCATCTATTCTCTGCCTTCTGAGTCCCAGCTGATCGGTTGGGTCTTCTTTTGTTGCCCTGCACAGGAGAACGGAGCTGGAAAGCAGGTTTGTGGGATGGGGAGGGAATGGGATTTTTCAGTAACCTTCTCCCAGGAGTGGGGAGGGAATGGAGATTTTGCGGTATCCTTCCCCTGCCATGGCCACCAAGCCATGCCATGCCCACAGAACCGGTAGTAAAAATTTTTTGAATCCCATCACTGCCCTGCCCTGACCAGTTTAGCGAAGAGGAAAAAAATCCCGATACGTCATGTGACACCGCCGTGATGACACAAGTTTGACACACCCTGGCCTAGGTGATTACTCCCTTTTGTTTAACGGTAGAGCCATCTGGGAGTAACCTACTCAAGCTGTGTGCCACCAACTTGGCAAGGCTCTGATGTGGTTATTCATAGAATGTTCTGACCTTGGAAGATTCCAGGAAAGAATGAATTAAGATGCAAAATGTAAGGACAGAACTAAGTGAAGAGAGAAGTTGTAGGTCTAACTTCCCTTTATTTTCTTGTCATTTACTTCCATTTTAACCTGGACAGTAGCTCATGGCTTGAAAGCAAGCCCTTCCCACTTTGCATATCCACCTCTCCTTAAAGGAGCTTAAAGCTGAATTCAGTCAGCAGGGATTTAAATTTAGCTTCCCCCAGTTAAAGCCGGTACTCTATTTGATACTGAATTCCGACTCTGGAAAATCATCAGGAATGGGAGTTTGAACATTTCAAGGCTTTGATCTTGCCAAGAGGACACAGTCCATCTACACCAGTGTTTGTCAAACGTGGCGTCTTTAAGATCTGTGGACTTTACCATGGCCGGCTGGAAGATTTTGGGAGTTGAAATCCAGACACCTTAAAGCTGCTAAGTTTGAAAAATGGTCTAGATCAGGGGTGTCAAACTCGTGTTGTCACAGTGGTGTCACGTGACATATTCGGACTTCCCCCCCCCTTCGCTAAACCGGGCAGGGTCAGCCATGACGCATCCAGCCCTTGGGCTATGGGTTTGACACCCCTGGTCTAGATCACTGCATCATACACCAGGGTTTTTTGTTTTCACTTAATAGCAACTTTCGAGTCCTCGTTGTGTGAAAATCTTTGATGTACTTGAGCATTTTGCCGAAAGCATTCATACAACGGGACAGATTCATTCCATGTTTGCCCAGCCTTTATTTACATGATCCATCTCATCTTAGTTTATATCCGTCTTTAGGTAGGGTCAGCTGTCTATCTCTGATACACAGCTACCTCACTCGCATGAATTGCTAATCAGTTCTGCAGCAGCTTTCAACAGAAGATGTCACAACATTGGAAGAGATGGATTGGTTCGTATTGCAGGATATAACAGTCCCGATCAAAAATGTCTACAGATCGTAATCAAAAAAGTCAAGACAGAAGTCACAATGGTGATGGAAGCTCTGCCCAGTTTCTGTATGCATTCCATTTGTGGGGCACATCAAAAATTAAGGCAAAGCTTCATTTGTTGTCATTGGCATCACCTTGACTTTTCTGACCGTGCCAGCTGTGATCCTGGTTGTGGGTGATAAAGGCAGCAGTGACTTGGATTCTGATTCCAAGGCAGAGAAAAGGAACTAAATCTTGGGAAACTGTGAGAGAAACAAATGTGATCTAGTAACGTAAGTTCAATTCATTCCAGTTGGACTTTTAAAGACCAGTTTCTTTGGCTTAGAGCTCCTGACTTCGGGACAAATATGGTTGTTAATTTTTAGGTCAACTAATGACAAGTCGTCTTTCTCCTAACTTATCTCTGCTCTTTCCTTATAGATCTTCTGGGTGGGCCCCTTAATTGGGGCGGCCTTGGCATCTGTCCTTTACAACTTTGTTATTTACTATGACCCTAAGCCCTTCAGCCAAAGACTGTCCATTCTCAAAGGCAGCTATGATGAAGAAGAGCCGGAGAGGCAGGAGGAGAACGCTCAGAAAGAAGCGCTGCCGTTACCCAGTCTGGTGCATAGGTTGTAGCCTCTTCAGTCTCTGTGGAGAGGAACTTTAGGATGGGCTCAGCAAGAGATGGATCTGTGGGTGGTGATCCCAAAACCAGCCACTAGAGGGCTCCAGGTGCCTTTCCTCTGAAGTGTTTGACTTACCGTGTGGATTTTGTTACATTCAGCATCAAGAGGCGACTTGCAGGAGCTGGCCCTTCGTTGCCCTGCGATTGGAAGCTGCCATATGGGTACCTTAAGCCCTCTATTCAGGAAATGAAAAGGGCTACTTTCAGTATAAAGCAAATATGAACTTGACAGCTATGAACTGCAATGCCAAATCAGCGGCTTGCTTGAGGTTTAAACTTGTCTTCTAGGCAGATTTCCACACACACATACACACACACACACACATGCGCACACACCCAGAGGATAAGCAAAAGTTACTTGGATAAATAGCCTGGATGCTAGCTGGATCCTTAGCGGGTGAATGAAGTGTTTCACCAATGCCGCGTCTCGTGCAGGTATAAATCACCCCCAAAAGCAAGCTGCATAAAATTATGCTGCCTTCCCTGCTGGGAGACAAGGAGCAAGGAGGCAGGGGCAGGATCTTGACCTGTGGATTGTCCTTGTCACGGAGACGTTTCTCTGGGCTTCTGAGAATGCCCCGCCCTGCATTTCCAGGCAAGGTTTCGCTCAATGGGGAAAATGTCACCCCATCAAAGTAGGCCAGGAGTTTGCTGCTTCGTGTAGACTTTCCCCCCGCCCAAAATAAACAGGTAGTCCTCGGCTTATGACCACAACATTTCTGTTGTTAAGCAATTTATTATTATTATTTATTCACATTGAATGAAATCTATGTTGCTCTTGTGTGAGGACCCTCCCTACCATCAGTGAGCATGTGTTAAACCTAGATTGAGGGGTCCTTGGTGCTCCCGGAGCTTGCTTGCTTTCTTGCAGATGTTTCATTACCCTAACTAGGTAACACCATCAGTACTAGTGACTAAAACTGATGATGATACCTAGTTAGGGTAATGAAATGTCTGCAAGAAAAATAAGCATGCTCAGAGAGCACCAAGGACCCCTTCGTTTCAACCCCGAGCTACAAATATTCTCCTCTGTTGGTTTAAACCTAGATTGAACGAAAGGTTTCACCCCTCCTCTCCCACCATGCAATAAAAAGTAGAAAAGTCACTTCAAACTTTACTTATTAATCAAATAGTCTAGCTGCCCGTTTTTACAAAAAGCAATTCTGGGCAGCGCACAACAGTCAAATGAAATAACAAATATAAAAATAACAGAAATAAAGATGTAAAAAACCCCACATACAAAAATAAATAAACGAACATATAAACCTTGAGGCGAAGGTGAGATAAAAACGGCCTCTCAGCAATGGAACCATCAAAATGTATTTCCAGCCTGATAAAATAATGAGGTTATTGAGAGACTTCTGGAAATCAGGTAGTCATTGATTTATGATCACCCTTGAACCCAAAATTTCCAGTTGTTAAATGGGTTTTGCCCCATTTTATGACCCTTTCCCCCCACAGTTGAGTGAACCGTTGCAGTTGTTAAGTGACTCTTGGCCTCCTCCAGATTCCAACTTTCTTTGTCGGGAGCCGGCTGGGGAAGTTACTGTGCAACTGGCATGTAAGACGAAGCTACCTCTTAGCCACCGCTGCTTGAGCTCAAGCCCTGGTGGCTTCCAATTTCCATGGATATTTTTTTTAAAAAAACTTCCCAGCTGTGGATCCGTCAATTGGTTCTCCATCTGGGTTAAACAGGCTCCGCTCCTAGCTCCCAAGGTCACTCCGAGAGTCTGCTGGATGTTGCTGAGCCTCATCTCTTTGAATTAAGCTCATTCAAGGGCACTTTGTGGACAGTCAATTTTTGACAGATGGTTTCCAGAAATGATGATGATCCCAGAGCTCGTGAACTTTTGACTATGTAATGGGATGGAGAGGGGGAAAAAACAAAAAACCTCCCAGCGCACTTTAAGCTCAATATATAAACGTTTCGTTTGAGTCTAGTCTGTCAGCATCACATTTCACAATGACATAACACTCAAGGCTTTCATTAAAAAAGGGCATCGGATTGGGGTTCTTTTGAAAGCCGGCGTCTCACCTCTCAGCTCAAGACAGCAGCTGAGCATTTTCTTAGTCAAGGAAATCAAGGGAATCTGGCATTTGGGTAGTACCAAATGGACAGGTAGTCCTTGACTGATGACCACAACAAGCCCCAAATGTATGTTGCTAAGTGAACATTTGTTAAGTGAATCTTGCCCCATTTTATGACTGTTTTTGCCATAGTTGTTAAGTGAATCATTGCACTTGTTAAGTTAGTAACCCGGTTGTTAAGCGAATCTGGCTTCCCCATTGACGTTTGTTTTCTCAGAAGGTCGCAAAAGGGGATTGATTACATGGGACACTGCAACTGTCATAAATATGAGTCAGTCGCCAAGCATCTTAATTTTGATCACATGACCATGGAGATGGTACAACGGTTGTAAGTGTGGGGAAAAAAAATTTTTCAGTGCCGTTGTAACTTTGAACGGTCACTAAATGAACTGTTGTAAATCGAGGAGTATTTGTAATCTAACCTTTGTGTTATTTATTTCCAGACCATTGTTCACCCAAGAAGCTATGGGGTGCCTAGTTTTTTTCCCTTCACTAAAACATCCTACACAATCCTACAATCTAGGTGGGCTAGAATGAGAGAGGCAATCGGCATTCCAGAGCTGTTGAGTGATCTGGGATCTGAACTCAAATCCCAGGTTCTAGTCTGACATTCTCATTCCTTTTATAGTTCTCATTATAGTTTAAGAAAAGCCAAATCTCAGTTAATTTTGAAAGGCCAACTTAACTCACTTCGCAAATATATTTTTAAAACCTCTCAAAGGTATGACACAGGTCTCTACTAAAAGGGTACACAAAAAGGAATGGCCTGCGATGCTCCCTTTCAGGTCCTGCAGGGCCGTTGTAGCTACATATCACCTGGGGTTTTTGAAGTACAGGCAGTCCTCGAATTACGACCACAATTGAGCCCAATATTTCTGTGGCTAAGTGAGACAGTGGTTAAATGAGTTTTGCCCCCATTTTACAGCCTTTCTTGCAGTAGTGTTATGCTGCTGGTTCGGCCTGGTTCGACCGAACTGGTAGCAAAAATTGGGCCAATGGTAGTAAAAAAAGCCTCACACCATCAGCTG